TTTTCTTCTGTTTTAGGAGCGGTCCCCTCTATCCCTGCGACCTCCATATTGGATATTTTTATATACTTTTATATTGTATACTTTTTTATTAAATTTTAATTATTAAACTCACACATTTAAATAAATTATACTATATATTTTTAATTGTAACAAAAAAATGCAATTATTTACACGCCTTTCCCTTGCGCTCCAATCCATTGTGCGCACTCGTATTAATTATAAGTCTCGCTATCGTTCTCTCTCGTATGCGTTCTTTTCGCACTCTCATCGTTCTCTCTTACACGCACGGCAAAGGTACAAAGCAGTCGAACATCGACGCTGTTAAATTTTTTTCTTAAAAAATAAAATAAAATAAAATAAAATAATAGAAAAAGGGCAAAATGATTTTGGCTAGGTCCAAAATCCTCTTCAAAAGAATACCGCTCTTTTTTGTTTATGTTTGTCATAAAACATCCAACACGTGCGTCCCCCACCTCGCAACCCCCGCGTCACCAAAATCCCGCTTGACGTCATACCTCCGCTCCACAGAGATCCCCTCGCACCTCACCTGCCTGGGAGGACCTAGATTAGAACCGGCCTTATTATTCTATTCATATGTATGTCGAAAAAAAGGAGATAGCAATTTTAACAAATACACAGTATATAAACAGAACTATACATCAAGCTACATAATATATAACAAAAATAAGTTCTACAGGCTTGATTCGGCTGCACAATGTGGAATATTGACAAATATCAATGAGAGAAAGAATCGTTTTTTTCCAAGTATAATATTCCTCTTTTATAGCTGTTACAATATGGCAGAACTGTTCCAATTGAAACAGCGAAGGACATCAAGTCTCAAGTTACTAGAATACAAATGTTTTGAGGTTAATTGTGAATATGTTCAGACGCAAAAGCGCAGGTTAGTTTGAAAAATTAGCAGATCTTTAAGTTTCATTTGAGGATGTTCAGCAAGTTCTCAAAAGTATATTAAAAGTTAAGAAACAAAAGGAACAAACAGTAATTAGACTTCAGCAGATTATGGATAGAAGCAAACTTTAGAGAGAAAAAACAAATCAAAACTCGCAGAGATTAAACTTCCAGGGCTGCGTTCAGAAATATCACCCGAGTGTACCTGGATATCATTTTATCCTTGTTTAACATTCAGTGAACAGCAAAGATAAAATGATATTCGGGAGCACTCGGGTGATGTTTCTGAACACAGCCCAGAATTTACACGCGAAAACAAAGGTGAATGTGTATTACTTGAAGAGAAATATTATGCTACAGCTTCAGAGATACAACAAATAATTGATAAGGGAACTACATGTTATAGATAAGCAACTACAAGTTATATAGTAATGGACTAATAGTAGTCAAACTTCAATAGATGATTAACAAGCTGAAAATGTAAAAAGAAAAAAATGAACCAAAACTCCCGGAGATTAAACTCCCGGAATTCAATGGAGAAGATACTAAATGGCTGTTTTTTAAAAACAGTTTTGAAATAATGATACGCAATGATGGAAATTTATCAAGGTTACAAAAATACCAATATCAGAGTTTTCACAGGACATAAAGCCATGGAAGATTTCAATAGCAAAAATTATGAGCAAGCATGGCAACTTTTTAAAAACGTATGATAATAAAATGATGATTATTTCTACACTTGAATGTACTTTTAATTTTCCAGTTATTTCAAAGGATGATAAAGAAGATTCAATTAATATGGCATATCCAAACACATATGTTTCCTTTGAAGTCATTACAGTTAGCCAGTGAAATACTGGGATACAATAATTCTTTATTCAGCAAAAAGAAAATTAGAATACATCTAACAACGAGAATAGCAAAATTATAGAATTTAAGAATCGTATAACGAAAAATATACCTAAATTAAAAGATTTTATTAAGTTTATTACAGATCGTTGCCATATATTGAGGATGATCAATCAAAACAAAACACTAAATAATTAGCAGTAAAAGAAAAGTAATAGAATAATAATATTATTGGTCATCGCCGTTTTGTCATCTTGTTTTGATTAATCTTCCTCAATGCCTTAAAGTGTAAAATGTGTAATGGTAAACATCACAAATTTCGATATAGAAATTTAAGAAGGTTATGATTACATTCTTCAGAAGAATGGCTGTGATTGTTCAACAACATCTAGTAAACTATCCCGGAGCGATTGAAACCCGAGCAATCGAAAACACTATTTGTAACAACATGTAAAGTGCATAGGAGCCCTGAAACAAAGTCGCTATCGAATGTTTATTCGCGGAATTGAGATTCGGATCTGAATAGAAAATAGATTCGATAAAAAAATCGACCTGCAGAGCATCCAGTATCATCAAAATACGTAAATGGACGACTATCCATTGGACTATCCTATGGAATCGGACGGCTATCGAAGAATTATGTCTCCGAAGCCCTATAAGAAGTGATGCGGGACGCAGGGAGGCCCAAGACTACGGTCATGAAAGCACCAGAATTGATAAGCTCGCTGATCTGAAGGATTCAATAACAACAGAAATAACTCAATTTTTAGGTTAATTTACTGGTGTCATTCCTTTTGTTCATCATTGTTCGGTGGACCGGCTATATGAAGACCTTTAGTACGGCATATGCATGGGCAATCTTGATTTTCAATGCTGTGAAGGATAAAAGCCGATGAGATAATGTTGAAAACGTTGCCTTTACCTCTTAGTTTTTTTTAACCCGAGAGTTGATAACAATTACTTTCGGCGCACACATGAAAATACATACATTTCTTCTATGTATACGCTACTTCCGTCCCATTTTTCTCTTCTCAAGTGCAACGAACGTTTTTTGGAATAAATCCTTATACCGGGTGTTTCAGACCACCCGTACACCCCATTTTAAAGCAAAGGAAGTGGTTATTTTGAAAAATGTTTCAGACAAAAGTTGTTGAAGATAAAGTAATGCATTACATGGGTAAATTTGATTGACCTTGGGTGGCGTCGTGAAGGTCATGTCAAGGTCGACTTGAATTTTTTAAATGGGAACCCCTATTTTTCATTGCATATTCTTGTAGCTTATCTCGAGAGCTTTCCAAAACACTATAATTAAGTACCTTTTTATTAAGTACTTTTTGAGTTATAAGGCTTGAAATAATTTCTTAATTTTACATAAACCATAAAATATCTAGTAAACCATTCATTTTTCGATTATCTTACCTTTATACTTTTATGTACAAAATAATGAGAGGAATCAATTGGTGTAAAGAAAACACATAGTTGTTTCTAAGAAAAAATATGTAATTTGCAATTAACAATTCCATATTTTTTCTTAGAAACAACTATGTGTTTTCTTTACACCAATTGATTCCTCTCATTATTTTGTACATAAAAGTATGAAGGTAAGATAATCGAAAAATGAATGGTTTACTAGATATTTTATGGTTTATATAAAATTAAGAAATTATTTCAAGCCTTATAACTCAAAAAGTACTTAATAAAAAGGTACTTAATTATAGTGTTTTGGAAAGCTCTCGAGATAAGCTACAAGAATATGCAATGAAAAATAGGGGTTCCCATTTAAAAAATTCAAGTCGACCTTGACATGACCTTCACGACGCCACCCAAGGTCAATCAAATTTACCCATGTAATGCATTACTTTATCTTCAACAACTTTTGTCTGAAACATTTTTCAAAATAACCACTTCCTTTGCTTTAAAATGGGGTGTACGGGTGGTCTGAAACACCCGGTATATCTCATGAATCCGTTGTGTAATTTATCTGCGCTAACCCAAATTTAACAAATAACTATCGATTTCTCACCGATTATATAAGGTATTGTTTAGTTCGAATGAATTGTCGTGCTAACTATTGTTTAATTTTTTTTCCTTTTATTTGATGTAAAACATGATAAAATTCAAATAATTCTGGTATTAACATAAAAAAATTAGCGACTGATTGACCAAGATTCATCCGAATTGTCGTACTCTCTCTTGGTGAGGCAATCACCGCCGACAGTCACTTAATTGTATCGTGTATTAATTTTACATTATGTCTTGATGTTCAAATTGTATTATCGTCTAAATAAGTTCATACGTGTAATCGTGTAATTTTTAGAAAAGATAGGAATGTATGTGGGAAGAGGTCAGACGTGCCTATATGCCCATTTGGTCAATGAGTGACAGAATCCAAAACAATATTCGTGGACTATAAAAATAAATATGAGGTGCAAGTCGGTGCCATTTCTTACAGAAAACCAAGAACTTGAAAGCCAGCATGCAGAATGCACGCGAATACCTCCACCGGCACTTATTTGGTCAGCGAGCAACCTTTCAAGGATCCTCCGTGGCAATCGGCATTGCATCCATTGAGCAAGATAACAATATCGCTCTAGAATCGCATATTATTATGTTAAAAAGCAGCATTAAGTGTGAGGTCTGAATAACTTAGTGGTCTAGAGCAGTTACCTGGAAAGCGAAAAACTCGGGTTTGATTCCCGACTCAGTCACTTGCACTTCACATATTTTTTAGTTCACGAATATTGTTTTCTAGCAATTATTTGTTGAGCTGAAAAATATGTGAATGCTCTCTCCACAAGATATGCATCGATGCCGTTGCCATGGATTCTATCGCTCGTTGACCAAATGGGTGTATACACACGTCTGACCTCCTACCACATACATCCCTATCTTTTCTTCGGCTGCCGAATGGATTTTGTGTCACGCCGATCCATATCATTCGATGATGTTATATAATTTATGTTAATTGTACAATTTTCGAGTATTGAGAATTTAAATTAGATGTTTTATTATACATGCTTATTCAGCATCCGAATGAATTAAGAGTACTAAGAGCATATCTTATTGTGCAATTTTTTCTTCTGCGAATATATCTATTTTCCGACTATTAGGAATGTATTTTTATAAGGATATTTATATATATAAGGAATGTATTTTTGTCTCACAATCTAAATATTAAAATCGCATTCAAATTTTGATAAAAGTATAAATTTATATTTATTTAAGCAATATATCCTTACCTTTAGGTTTAGAATGTTGACGGCGATGCTTGGAATCCATCATTACGACAGAGAACCAATCCAAAAGACGATTAGCCATTGCAGGTTTAGATGATGATGGGCAATCGGTATTTTTGGATGGTAACTGCATATTGTATATTCCTTTAAATAATGATTTGGGTTTATCCGTGACTTTGTTGTTTAGATGCTTGTCGTCATATCTGTTCGCGATGGCGAGATCCTGCACATAAAACATATCATAAGTATGTGTAAAAAATATCACTGTCCGACACTAATTTTGTTTTTGGCTTGCAAAGTATCATTTTCATAGTATTTTTTGACATTGAAAACGATGTTGTCCTCAGAATTTGCCTATTACGTCACATTTTCGAGAAAAAAGGTAATGTGGATCAAAAATGATGATTTTGACTATATTTAGAATGACATTGCGTTGAAAAGAATTTAATTTTTTAAATTTCGTCTATACTATCTTAAAGTGTTATCTTTTACTTTTAAAATATTTTCTTTGTTTCTGTATGATTTTTTAACATCAAGCTACGTTTGAAATTATCACCGTTTGGCGCGAAGATCGGGGAAACTTCGCGGTGCAGTGATGCCGGCCTTTCGGTAGCATAGATTTGAGTAATAAAAAGAAAAAAGTAATAAAACAATTTTTAAAAAATATAAAAAGAAGGAGTAACAAATATCGCCTCCACTCCGAAAACACATATTGTAGCTAAATGATCTTCAAGCGACTGTTATGTTTATCTCGGAATATGAAATCGAAGAAACACAAATCACAAAAATAAAAGTGCGCGCAAACTAAGATATGAAACTTACTAAATATAAAAGAGAGAATAACGGTCCGTGAGATAACAATCAGAATTTGATAAAAGAGAAAGGTTAAGGATCGTGGCATAGGGTGTTATTACGTAATTAGAACATGAATCTAGGACGAAAAATTTATATATTCTTTAATAATTGATAGTAAAAAAAAACATTATCCGTCGCAAAAAAAATAATACGAATATAGAAATATCGACAGACGTACGTTTCGATCCAATGATCCACATTGGATCTGCATTTTGTAACAATTTAAAATATTTGTGTTTTGAAACGTAATTACAATAAAGAGAACTTAGATAGATTGCCACATTACATTTGTGACGCACATTCCTGAGCGCTCCTTAGATACGAGCGGCGCGAGCGATAAAAGGGGAACAATAGGCGTAAGCTAAGAAATCTGGCCGAAAGTTGCAAGTAAATCTCAGCACTGATATAACTTAACCTAACCTAACTCAACCGTGAAGTGTGGGATATACTCGGCTTCGCGTAGAAAGTTGCAAACTTATGTAAAGCTATATGAATCATGTGAAGCGAGACATTTCATACGTCGGACACGGATTGGGTTAGATTAGTCTTCTTTGAGAGGAGGAAGAGCGGTGCCCCTCCCCTGTCTACGCGTTTATTTAAAGAATAAATGTAAATCAAAGAATATAAACACACTTTCCAAATAAATTTTGCAATGTTCTATACGAAGTATTTTCCACACTTCAGACATAGGTTGGGTTAGATTATATCTTCTGGAAATGGAGCTCCTCCATAAGAGAGAGGGAGCGGAACCCATGATGTCCATGCATGTACTTTGCAAGACGAAGCAAAGTTACATACAAACATACATGTTTATATTAATTTATATTTACATTAAATATATTTCTTCTTAAATGTTCATAGTGTCGTAAAATTGTTTTATTCATGAAATTTTTTGCGTTAATAACTATTTAATAAATAACAAACGGTTCTTCTGAAAGTTATTTAGAAAAATGATCTCGATAAATGTAAACAAAAAAATATAAACATATTTTGGATATAACGAAAAGATAATACAAGTAAGTATGAAATTCCAAAAACTGTATATCTCAGGAACGGAGAGCTTGCCCCTAAACTGAAATGGTGTATTACTTAGGAATGAACTCTCTACAATATATGTCAAAACAAAAATTTTTCGAGCTGTGTAACCTAAAGTAAACATTTATCCAATTTTTTGTATTTGTAATTTTATTTTATTAAATTATACCTATATTTAAATAATTATAGTGTTTTATTAATGTTTATATTAATTTATATTTATATTTAGTAATGGCGTTTTATATTTCATTTTATATCGGTATATATAAAATAATAAGATATTTTTAAATTTAGAAAAATTTGATAATGCAAATTAAAAAAACAAAATTGATCAAATTAATTATATTTTAATATTGCAGGTTGCATTATGAAAACAATTTAAAAAAATGAAAAAGAAAGTTTGAAGGAGTAGGATCGAACTTTGGACCCGCATATAATAGTGTCGGGCTCTATTGCCCGAATCACGCCGCCTTTTCACTAACAATAAGTCTAAACCACGGTCTTACATACAGGCAACAATACCAGATTGCACACGCAGCGTCCAGCGGCGGCACGATTTGTATCACTTTCGGATACAAAAGCATCTAGCGCTCAATGAGCGCTTATGCTTTTGTATCCGCTCGTTGAGCGCTAGATGCTTGTATTCGAAAGTGATGGGAATACAAATCGTGCCGCCGCTGGACACCGCGTGTGCAATCTGGTAGCCTTGCATACAGGTCTGGAAACTCCGGTGGTGGGAGGTGTTCCGCTTTTTGTCCTCGGTTTGTGTAGTTTGAATATTGGCCGCGTGGTTCGCAACATGCATAGGATGTTAATTAAACAAGATGGCGGTATCTGGTGTCCACAGCACGGCCATCCACAGGTTTCACTGACGTAGTCTTATTATTATTTTATATTGTTTTTTTAATGTTTTATTAATAAATTTACATAATAAGCGATATAAGTGGTAATCGGAAGGATAAACAAATGTATCTTTGTCAAAAAAGAATTGCGTATGCGCAATTGATTCGATAGTTCCTTCACTTACCGCTACGTGAGCTGTACTTTCTCGTAATTTATTTTCTGTAAGAAATATATATAAAGTCGTGAATAAAAGACTAAAAATATAGTAATTATTATTTTAATTTCTATCACTTTAATTTCTGATATCTGATGATGACAAGCAGATGAGATTCAGAATATTAAACTGATTGGAATCAATATGATAAATGGAAAATTATTCATGTACTGCCTATTTGAGGCATAAAGCAAGAATTTAATTCTAAATAAATTACATCTCAAGTTTTACAAGTTACAATTACTTTTATCATTTATTTTATTATTAATTTAATTAAATTGAATTAGTTCTTCGCTATATGAGATATAATTACGATATAATATATATTACATTAACATATATTACGATATAACATATGACATATATGCCATTTTAGAAGAAAATTGTAATTAACTTGCTGATAATATTGTTACTTAACACCTGTAATAATCAATTTTGCATTTATATAATATTAATAAAAGTAAGCGCAAATCTTGTGCAATTTCTGCTGTCAATTTACCATCAGATTGCATCCGCGATTCTACTCGGTTTCTGCTGACAATCTAACATCAAATTGCACGTGCAGATTCTGCTCGATTTCTGTTGTCGGTTTATGGTGACAGATTCTGCTAGCAGAAGCTTAATGCAGATGTAGTTGATGCCAATCTGCCGCAATATTCTGTTTGAATCTGCTCGCATGCTGCTGGCAGACTGGTAACATTTTGCTTACTGGGTATATATATACAGGGTGACCCATTTTAACTTAGGCAGCCAAATAACTCGAAAAATAAGCACACTACGAAAAAATGGTTAGAATCAAAATTTCGTCATTTCGAGGGGGACGTACAATGACGTTAAAATCAGCCCCCCCACCCCTCCCCCTGGGCGGTGAGGGGGGGCAAGTTTGAAATCTTAAATGGAACCCCCTATTTTTCATTGCATATTCTTGTAGCTTATCTCGAGAGCTTTCCAAAACACTATAATTAAGTATCTTTTTATTAAGTACTTTTTGAGTTATAAGGCTTGAAATAATTTCTTAATTTTACATAAACCATAAAATATCTAGTAAACCATTCATTTTTCGATTATCTTACCTTCATACTTTTATGTACAAAATAATGAGAGGAATCAATTGGTGTAAAGAAAACATACAATTGTTTTTAAGAAAAAATATGGAATTGTTAATTGCAAATTACATATTTTTTCTTAGAAACAACTATGTGTTTTCTTTACACTAATTGATTCCTCTCATTATTTTGTACATAAAAGTATGAAGGTAAGATAATCGAAAAATGAATGGTTTACTAGATATTTTATGGTTTATGTAAAATTAAGAAATTATTTCAAGCCTTATAACTCAAAAAGTACTTAATAAAAAGGTACTTAATTATAGTGTTTTGGAAAGCTCTCGAGATAAGCTACAAGAATATGCAATGAAAAATAGGGGGTTCCATTTAAGATTTCAAACTTGCCCCCCCTCACCGCCCAGGGGGAGGGGTGGGAGGGCTGATTTTAACGTCATTGTACGTCCCCCTCGAAATGACGAAATTTTGATTCTAACCATTTTTTCGTAGTGTGCTTATTTTTCGAGTTATTTGGCTGCCTAAGTTAAAATGGGTCACCCTGTATATACACACACACACACACACATGAATTTTTCTGTTCACAGTTTACTGATCTCTACCTCCTTACAAGCGCTTGTGTATAGTGCTCTGGGACATCCTGTATAGACCCAATAAACACGCAGGACTCATTTCCGTAACAATTACATAATATTCTATATGTGTATATGTTACAGATCATTAAAATGAAACTATAACGTATCAGTTATGCCAATAACATAATGAATCTATAATTCTTACATAAAATTGTTATGTAATTTTGTCGTTACTTTGTTATGTAATATGTATGCAATTTGGTGAACGTAAATGTGTATACTCTAAAAGTTTCGTAAATGCTACATAACTTTAACGATATAATTGAAACGTAATGTTAAATACGTAGCATTTATGTATTTTGGTGAACTTAAATGTGTATACTCTAAAAGTTTCGTAAATGTTATGTAACTCTAATGATATAATTGTAACGTCATGTTAAATACGTAATATTTATGTGTTTTGGTGAATGTAAATGTGTAGACTCTAAAAGCTTCATGCCACGTATCTCTAATGATATAATTGAAACGTTATGTTAAATACATAATATTTATGTGTATAGGTGAATGTAAATGTGTAGACTCTCAAAACTTCATAAATGCTACGTATCTCTAACGATATAATTGAAACGTTATGTTAAAT